GCTGGGGGGAGGCTAAAAAGGGGTGGGCAAGAGGCAGAGGACAGAAGGGGGTGCTGCTGAAGAGATGGTCCTTCCACCTCAGCCCCAAGCCCTCTGTGCCTTCCAGATGTAGCTCAGCAGCAGGGTTGTGGGGCTGGGAGTCCCCCAAGTTCTCAGTCATTTAAACATGGCTCCCCACCCTTTACCCCTAACAGGATGGTTTCCATGGGGAAGTGAACCAGGACTTCCCCTGCAGGCCCCACCCCAAAGTCAGGCGCAGTGGAGTAGGGAGGAGGCCTCTCTGCCCCCCCAAAACACTCCCAGTGATTTCCTCTGGGTGGGAGGGACCCATGGTCAGTGGCTGAAAACACTGAGGGGATCACATTTCACAGATCTTACTGCACCCCCTGTCCTCCTCATCCAAGACCATGACCTTGGACCCCCCCAGGAGAGGCCTTCTGATGTTGCTGATGGCTTTAAACCTGACCCAGGGTGAGTACTGTAGGGAACAGGGGCCTGAATGGAGAAAGGGCTGTCTGGGCTCAGCTCTTCCTGGGGTTGTTTGAGGGGTTGGAGAGAGGGGCTTTGGAGCTTGGCTGGAGGGCAGGAGACAGGCCACCCCAACCCTCTTTTGCTATTCTCTTGATCCCAACCTTCAGGCCGGTGTTCTGCCAGATTCCAGGGTGGAAACCTCTATGTGGGGGGTGCAGAGAGTGGGGATGTTAGCAGGGAGGGTCGGGAGGGCCCTCAGGGTTGGGGCTGGGGCCCAGGCTGGGACTGGAACTGGGAAAGGAGGTCCTAGGATTAGGGAAGGGACAGAGTCCTAGTTCTCATAGTCTCAGCTGCCCCTTGGTGGGGAGTAAGGCTCTGGAAGGAAGGATAATCTGAGGGTGGAACTAAAGGACCAAGGCCTCAAGGGGTTTGTCTGAAAGGTCAGAAGGGAGAGGGCAGCGGGTGTTGGGCTCAGCCTGGGGAGTTGGGCCCAGAGTGACTGAGCTTCTGCTGTGTCTCCCAGGCAACCCTGTGAAGCCCTCTCGGGGTCCGAAGGTGAACTGCACATGTGAGAGCCCACATTGCAAGGGGCCTACCTGCCTGGGGACCTGGTGTACTGTAGTGCTGGTGCAGGAAGAGGGCAGGCACCCCCAGGAACATCGGGGCTGTGGGAACTTGCACCCAGAACTCTGCTGGTCACGCCCCACTGATTTCGTCAATCACTACTGCTGCTACAGTTCCCTCTGCAACCACAACGTGTCCCTGGTGCTAAAGGGTATGTCCAGCTGCCTCAGCAACCCTCCCCACCTTCTCAGACCCTGCCCTCTCATCCTACATTCCTTTCATGATCTGGCCAGGAGGGTGGGGGAGGCAGGACCCTGGGATCTAATGGCAGAGTGGCAAGGTGTGGGAGGGGAAATGGCCTGGTGGAAGCTGGGTCTCAGTGTCCTCCCTCTGGCAGCCAACCCAACTCCGGAGCAGCCGCAAGTAGATAGCCAGCTGCCTCTGATCCTGGGCCCTGTGCTGGCCGTGCTGGCCCTGGTGGTCCTGGGTGCCCTGGGCCTGTGGCATGTCCGGCGGAGGCAGGAGAAACATCAGGGCCTGCACAGCGAGCTGGGCGAATCCAGACTCATCCTGAAGGCATCCGAGCAGGGGGACAGCATGTTGGGGGTACGAGCATGGGAAACTTGGGATGCAGAGTGGGGGGAGGGATAGACAGAAGCCACAGAATCAGAGGGGATGCAGAGTGACAGGTAGCCGAGAAAGGCACAATCACAGACACTCAGATGCCAGTGGGTGGGGGGCTGGGTGAGTGAGGAGCATGCAGAGACACAGTAGCAGGGGCCAGGGTGAGGAGAGAGGAGCATGCAGAGACACAGTAGCAGGGGCCAGGGTGAGGGACAGCTTCTCAGTGGCCTCTCGCTACTTCCAGGACCTCCTGGACAGTGACTGCACAACAGGCAGTGGCTCTGGGCTCCCCTTTCTGGTGCAGAGGACAGTGGCACGGCAGGTCGCCCTGGTGGAGTGTGTGGGTGAGCAGTGGGTGAGCCTGGGGGATGGGGACCAAGGGCTCCCATGAGCTTGGAGGGGTGAGAGAGCTCTTAGCCTCTGGAGTCACAGATGGGGCCAAGCCTTGCCCAGGAACTCTGCTGGGCAAGAAGTGTGTTGGAGATGGGTCAGGGCTAGATCCTTTTGCAGAGCCAGTATGGAACAAGAGGTGGGTGGGGGTGTCCTGCCAGCTGGGCTTGGTTCTGGATTAAGTTAAACATAAGTGTCAAAGATTCTGCAGATGGTCAGGGTAGCATCAAGATGGTGGGCTCTTCTGGGGACTACTGTGTCCAGGGGCTTGTGTGACTTTCTCCCTCCCCTCTGGCCTTTGGATCAGGAAAGGGCCGCTATGGTGAGGTGTGGAGAGGCCTGTGGCATGGTGAAAGTGTGGCGGTCAAGATATTCTCCTCGAGGGATGAGCAGTCCTGGTTCCGGGAGACTGAGATCTACAACACAGTGCTGCTCAGACATGACAACATCCTAGGCAAGCTGGGGGGTGGGGGGAGAGGGGTTATGCCAGGCCTGGGGCTGTCATCCCCCTGCACTCAAGGCTGGAGTCCCCAGCCTCTGGACGCTGACCCAACCCTGAAGTACTCCCAGTGCATTCTCAGCCCCAGCCTCTGGCTCCGGCTTCCTCTCTGACCGAGGCAGAGCAGCCTCCAGCCCAGCCCCCGGTCTGCGCTGACCCAGTCCATCCTGGGCCTCCAGTCCCAGCCCTGACCCTGACCAGCCCAGACTCCCTCTAAACCCTTGGCTGAGCCACCTGACCCTCTGCCCCATAGGCTTTATTGCCTCGGACATGACCTCCCGCAACTCGAGCACGCAGCTGTGGCTCATCACGCACTACCACGAGCATGGTTCGCTCTACGATTTCCTGCAGAGGCAGACGCTGGAGCCCCAGCTGGCCCTGAGGCTGGCTGTGTCCGCCGCCTGCGGCCTGGCGCACCTGCACGTGGAGATCTTCGGCACTCAGGGCAAACCCGCCATCGCCCACCGCGACCTCAAGAGCCGCAACGTGCTGGTCAAGAGCAACCTGCAGTGTTGCATCGCGGACCTGGGTGAGCCTGGTGGGGTAGGAGCGGGCCCTTCACGGAGGGTGGGCGGAATGAGGTGGGTGAGTAAGGTGGGCCCTTCCAAGGGGCTCGCAGTTCGCATGAGCCCTCCCTGTCCACCTGGCTCTGCATTCGCCTGTGTGCGTGCGTGTGTGCGTGTGTGTGTGCGTGTGTGTGCATGTGTGTGTGTGCCCGTGCGTGTGCATGCCTGGTGACGACGATGCTGATTGGCGCTTTAAAGCTGAAAGAGATGTTTGTTGTCTCATTTCCCATCCACAAGAGCCCCACAAGTTGCCTAACGCTCTTTTTAAGCTAAACTCCTTCCACCACACCACCCTTGGGCTCCAGGAGCTGGGAGGAAGGGGCAGGGAGCCAGGAACCTGGGTTATCATCCTGGCTTCACTGACTACATCCCTCCTGCTCACGGAGCCTTGGGGTTCTGCTCTGTGAAATGGGTAATAATACCTGCCTTGCTCATTCACATCTCCCTGGGTTCTTGGGCATCCAGAGAACGCTACACAAGCCGAGCAAAGTGGGGTCAGTTGTTCTCCCAGCACACCTCAGGGCAGGTCTCCGTTTGCCTGCCCTTCTGTGTCCCACCTTCAACCCCACCTTGCCCCCTGGACCCTAGCCTCTGGGGCCACCCTGTCTGTGGGCTCAGGTGAGCAGCAGAAGTGACAGCCCTGGTACCCACAGGCCTGGCTGTGATACACTCGCAGGGTAACGACTATCTGGACATCGGCAACAACCCTCGAGTGGGCACCAAGCGGTACATGGCCCCCGAGGTGCTGGATGAGCAGATCCGCACTGATTGCTTCGAGTCCTACAAGTGGACGGACATCTGGGCCTTTGGCCTGGTGCTGTGGGAGATCACCCGCCGGACCATTGTCAATGGTGAGGGCTCACCCTGCACAGGGTGAGGAAAGGGGAATGGGGCAAGTGGATAGACAGGCAGGGGATGGAGGCTTCGTGCCTTGGCCGGTGCCTGTGGCCTAAGGGCCTTGTGGACAGACTGCCTATATTCCATTCATTGCTACTCACCAACTGGTTCAGCTGAGCAACCTTTTAAGGTTCATCTGAGTCTGTGAGTCTGTGATTCTGGCTGTGAAATCTTGGGTAAGCGATAATAACAGAAATATTAATAGCAGCTAACATTTATTGAGCTTAAATATGTGCCAGATGCCATGTGATATGTATTGTCTTATCTAATCGTCCGGTGTTGGCAGAAATTTGGTATTGCTTAGTAGTTAAGAGCAAGGGTGGGAATCAGATTGACTGGGTTCAATTCCTGATTTTGCCACTGACTATGGGCATGTTGCTTAACTTCTCTGTGCTCAGTTTCCTCATTTGTAAAGTGGGAATAAAAATAGTTTCTAACGGTTGAGATAATTCAAATGAAGTATTTAGGACAGTATCTGGAGCTGTTCTGGAGCTCAGTAAATATTAGTGGCAATTATTGTTGTCATAATGAATCCCTGACACAGTATCATCCCCATTTTACAGATGAGGGGACTGAGGCACAGAATTACAGCTGGCTAGATGCAGCACCAGGGTCTGAAACCAGGCAATCTGACTCTGAGCCAGTGCTCTGCATCACTGTGCTACTTAAACCTCTCTGGTACTTGGTTTCCATGACCACAAAAATGTGGGATACAATAGTGCCTGTACTGCCTGCTTACTGCTTCCTCATTGTCGCTGTGAGTGCCACAAGGGACTTAGATTTAGAGTGTCTTGGAGCAGGCAGAGGGACCTCATTCCTGCTGGCACCATACAGTGGGCAGCCCAGCACCTTCCCAGTCCTGGGGTGGATGGATGATGGGTGGTATCTGGACTAGGTGAGGAAGCTTGTCAGTGTTTGTGGAGGCTGCCCATGGGGTGGGGCTGCCAGGAGTCCTGACAGTTTGGAGATAACCCTCAGGATATGACTGGAGCTCTGTTCTTTGGGGAGAAGGACATTCTCATTTCCTGAGCATCTGTGAGGAGCCAGCTCCATGCCAGGCTTCATTTGCTCTCAGCAGTCACTGATGGGTGGAGGCCGACGTGTAACCAGTCCCTCTGGAGGCTCAAGGGTCTCAGGTTCCTGCCCCTTCAGTCATGAGCTTTCAGAGTCAGCTGTAGAGGCTGGGGTCAGGGAAGGGGGCACCTTGAAGGAGCAGAGGTCCCTTGGACCAGGCTGCAGGCGGGAAAGGAAGGCTGGACCAGCCAGGGCTGAGGGGAAGGCTGACTGCAGGCTCCTGGGGCGGAGGGAAGCTCTGTCAGCCCCACACAGATTCGTGGTGCATTATAAACACTGTAATCTGGTGTCAGCCCCGGCACTGATTAAAGGCCCATTAGACACGCTCAGGCCTCTGTGCAGCACTGATTAGGGCGCGAGCGGCACAGGGGCTGGCCTGGAAGCCAGCCATGGGGAGAACAGCTGGCGCAGGCTCTCCCGGGGTTGTGGCTGTGTGGCCCTGGACCACAGCCTCTGCCTGGGAAGCGGGGTGGGGCATGGGGCACTTTTTCCTAGTCTGGGCTCTCCTGACCGAGCTGTCTGCAGCTCCACAGGCATCATTTTCAGAAAGTCCTGCTAAGGATTGTGCACTTGATTTAAGGAGGGGACGGGTGCTGCTGGCTGAGGGGGTTGACAGAGCCCTGTGCCATCCCTAAGAGGGGCTGGATGTTATTTGGACTTGAGTAAAAATTTCCTTCTTTTAAAGAGGCATTTTCTCTATCTACTCCTGGTTCCACATCCTCACCCAGCAGTCAACCAACTACCCTCCCTTAAGTGTAGCTTGGAGGTCAAGAGCATGGCCTTTGGTTAGATTTTCTGGGCTTAAATCCTAGCTCTGTCACTTATTACCTGTGCTTTTAGATAAGCTCATTTACCTCTCTGGCCTTAATTTCATTGCTTATAGAGTGGAGCTCATAATATTGCTTACTTCATAGTGTTATTGTGAGGATTTAATGCAATGCAGTTAGGACAGTGCCTGGCACATAGTAACTACTCAGTAAACATGGGTATTATTGGGCATCTGTGCTAGTTGGGACCTGAGAGCAGGACCCTCGCCCTGGGTGGAAAGCAACTGTAGAAAGACTGGAACAAGATCTGGCCTAGGAATCTAACGAGATGCATTTAAGTCTTGGCTCTGCCATTACTAGCTGTGTAACCTCAACTCCTCTGAACAGTAGTTTCTTCATCTGTAAAATGCGAGTAATAATAGTACCCACCTCATAAGGTTATTGTAGAGACAGGGTAATGCATATCAAGCATTTATAGCACAATGCCTGGCACGTGGTAAGTGTAAAATAAATGGTAGTAGTAATTATTATTTATAAATATATTTATAATATTATAGTGTCCCTCTCAAGGGTAGCATGGTCAGATAACGGGTATCTTGGCCCCTGGGACAGAGGGTGGTCAAGGCCCTCCTCTAGGTAGTATTGGGCCTTCTTGGGGTCCTGAGTGACTGTCGTGTTTACGCTCCATTCCCAGGCATTGTGGAGGACTATAAGCCACCCTTCTATGATGTGGTTCCCAATGATCCCAGCTTTGAGGACATGAAGAAGGTGGTGTGTGTTGACCAGCAGACCCCCACCATCCACAACAGGCTGGCTGCAGACCCGGTGAGGCCCCTGCGGGGGCTGGGATGACACAGGGGGTGGGGGTGGCTCACAGCTGGATAGATTCTGGGGGATAGATTCCAGGGTGAACTCCCTGGCTACACCCCCCCCCCATACCCCTGGCC